TAAACTAGCCCCTCCCACCAGCGGCCAAAATCATTGTTGCCTGCAGTGGTCTAGCCTCGATCAATGCCCTAGGCCCTAGAACTGGCGGGCCGATCACAACGCAGAGATATGTTTTGAAATTCTGGACGCAAAGTGGGCGGGGTTTTGAGGCCGTGATGACAAAGCACAACAAGGAAGATGGCGACGACTATGGCACAGTTCTGGTTTGATTCAGCTTTGGAATCAGTTCTGGACGGATTAGATTTGGGTTTCCTTAGAAACGTGAGCAGGAAGAGGCTCTACGCTCGTTCATTTTTAAGAAGGACGTATTCGCCGTTTTACCGACAGGCTGTTTGTTTCCACTCCCCCACCAGCTTCCTGTGGCGCTTCCTGCATCACAGTCAGCTGCTCTCATTGGTCAGAGCGTTGGCCAATAGGCACAGACATGGTTTGAAAAACAACGAGTTGTTCTCATCAACAATCTTCCGATGTCTCATTCATCAGGGCCAGACTAGATTAGACCTTTAATCTCACATTTAGTCTGGCTTATCGAAAAGTTTCAGGCTCAGGAATTTTTTTATTTTTTTTTGCTTTAATCCGTGTATTATTTAAATTTGCAAACAACACTCAAAAAAGAAAAGGGCAAGAAGAAAAAAGGTCCTTTCCGGTTGGTGTAATGAAGCCACTTTCTCCAAAGTTGATTCAAGTATTTAGACTTGATCTTTAGGTTTATTTTCTCCATGGTGAAGATCTCCTCTATCGATATCCACTGCCTCAGGTGTGGAGGGTCACTGTGAGAACCATGCATCTCTTCACTCACGGGTCCCTGGGGATCTTATATCCTTTTATTTTCAGGCTTTTTTCTATAGCCTGAACAACTTGATACCAGTAGGTTTGTATTTTTCTACATGACGGACATTTATCTGTCCTTATTTCCTCCAACATTTTACATATTATGGACCTAATTATATTGTAATTGAGGTTTTCTAAAGTAGCGTGTTAAATTCCTTCCAGCCTTTAGACCAGGGGTCACCAACTTTTATAAGGCTGAGGGCTACTTTCTGGGCACCGAGTCAGGACGGGCTACCAATACTGACCTATGACCTGGAGGAGTTGGCGTTCACCTGAACTTCATAGATAATAAACATATTTCTATTGTTTCTTTTCATTTTTAATTTGCTTTTAGATATTCTTATTATGAAATCCATATAAATCCTCAAATGTTCTAATTTATTGATATGATAAAATGCTTCAAAATAAGAAAAAAATAACATTTCAGATTTTGT